TCCGATCAATACGAAGAAATTACGTGAAATCTGATTTGAAAAAAAACAACACATTATTATTTTATATACAGCGTGGTGGTGTGTTGGTAAAATTGATTTGTTTGCTAACAGACCGCCATTGAATAATAAACATTTTGATTTATTTTTGTTACTTCTACGGTCGGGTTGCTTACAAAGAGTTAGTGTGGATGCTAATTTGATTTAAACACGCAACTATCATGTAACATACATAAGCCCATAAAGAGGACAATAGCACAACATTTTCTTTTATCGCTTGAACATGATTAATCTCTTATTTCTAAATATTATTATGTGTTATATAGTCCTACATCAATAATTATGCATACTGATGAACACAAATAAATATATGATATCCCAATTCTTAAATAACACAGGCCTTATAAAAAATCATAGATTTTGTAGGCCTATAGGGTTATTATATACATAATTATTATATTATGGATACTTTAATTATATAGGCCTAGGCCTATACTGAGCCTAGACGTATATTGTATTCATATTTATACGAATATTCAGTATCTGCTGCTTAATAGTTTATAGATGTAAGACTAAAATTTTACAATTTATGTGTAACTATATTTTATTTATTATTATTATTATTATTATTATTATTATTATTATTATTATTATTATTATTATTATTATTATTATTATTATTATTATTATCATCACTATCATCATCTTCATTATCATCATCACCAACATCATATCATCACTATCTTCATCATCATCATGATCTTCATCATCATCATCATTATAATTTCAATTTTAATGGTGAAAATGTCCACGTAACCGTGGCAATGTTTATTGTAAATGAATTAAAATTTATTACGGTGAAAAAGACTTGTTTATCAGAGGCAATTTTGCTTATGCTATGTTTTCATACTTCATTATTTTTATTTTGCCATATCATTTTATTATTTTTATTGTCTATATTATTTTTATCGTTTTTATTATTATAATATATATTTTAATGGGGCAAATGTCTAATTTTAATCGTGGCAAGTTTTATTGTAAATGCTTTAAATATCATTACGGTGAAAATGACTTATGTTTATTAGTGGCAATTTTTCTTTTGCTATATTTTCATACTTTATCCTTTATATTTTGCCTATAATTTTATTATTTTTATTGTCTATATTATTTTTACCGTTTATGATTATGATTAGCGTAGTGGAATCGTAATTGAATGCCAATAATACATGTTGGTTTTAGGAGATGTACCTTCTTCCAAGAACACAGACCGAACGTGTTCCACAGACATTAAAAATACAAACATCGGACCGCGTCTCCACTTTAATTTACTTGAGTGAAAATGATATTGAACTATTTTGGTGGCTATTAGTGTGAAACAACCGGACGTGCTCAAACAGCAACTGATTCTAAATAGAACAGACAGTTCGTGCACCGTAAAAAAGATGCGAATTGGTGGTCGATACGAGTGAAGTGGCCTCGGGCAGGCAAACGAATTAAAAGAACAGACCTAGCAACATGCCCGTGATTGGTTCGAAGTTGCTGTTTAATTTGAAGTGAACAGCACTGCAACTAAAGTTCTAAATATCAGGTACACTAAACCTAGCAATAGCTTCAATACTGTAGTAGGTGATCTGACTTGGCAGTATTCCTGAGTCAGATCTGAACCTTCATTTGTTAGGATGAAACGAGCTGTTCAGAGGGTGATTGACACTTTTACGTCCTTTTTACGCTTGATGCATCCATTGTTCGGTGGAAAAGTTTCGGGCTGCATGATGTTCTAAAAGCAGGCTAAACTCTTGAATTGCAGTATCATTTTTCAGTTACAACGAGAACAGAGCAGGTCCCGGTGCTTACCCTTCCCTGAAAAAATATTATCATGAACTTAAATTGGTTGATGGGACTGATTTTGCTGCCCACAGCAAGCATGTTGGCCAAGAAGACGACAGCTGCGGCAAGTGGAAAATGGTGGTAAGATGATGATTTATTGTATTTTTTCGTAGCCAACATGTTCTTATGCATGTAGTAAGTTAAGGGGCTGTCCATTTACATGATTTATGATAGGTCTACTGCTTCCTAATTGTAGTAATTCTTCATTGTTCATTGTGCTTCCCGTTTTGGAATTAATTTTATTTCTACTGTTCTAATTGAAATTAAATGAATCCAAATGAAAATAAAAATGACCGTATAAAGATGATAAACTTATAAACAATTATAGCAAAGTATACACAAATCTGGGAAGTAGTTTGTGTTTCTAAAAAATAAATTGTCTATTCGTCAAGCAGGTATTGCACCGTTTGTTTAAACTCCTAATAATGGAAACATAATATTAACAAATAAAGATTTTATAATGCGCTACCGGTAGGCCTATTTTATATAGACAGTTACGCAGCCTAGGATATATATTTACATTAGAACAAGATTATATACAAGGTTTAAGCCTATTTGCAATGCTTCATTGAAATATATAATGTTAATAGGCCATCATTTTTTTTGTAATGCTACCGGTGCCTGATGTTTAATTCCTATCGCTCTATCGCTTGCCGTAGGTTATTTGCTTTGCATTACTGTAGTAATATATTTATTAAATTTAATAAATATATCACCTGTAATTTAGATAACCTATGTAATATATGTATTATATGTATGTATTATATTTATTATCTAAACAAATTAGCTTTAAACTTATTGTTTGAAGCTTAATCCCTATATTGCTTCATCTCTTGCCTCGTGGTTAAACGTCATCATATATAGGTTGTATTCCATATAACGAAATAGACTTTTTTAATACTTGATTTATTACCAAAATATGCACTACGTAATTACGAAATAGATTTTGAACTTACTGATTATATGCCCAAATGGAGAAGAAATATATATTTGAAACCGTCCAAAATTGTTTATATATGTGATCATATATAATAAGTGTTAATTTAGTAGCCGTCTTTACATTTTCGTTAGCATTTGACTATTATCAATACAATTAACGGTATTCGACAGCACTAGTTTCATTTTTGTTAATGATAAAAGTGTTAGTTCACTATTTTTTAATTAAATGTAATGTGTTCCCTTTTTCGCCAACCTGTTATTATATAGGCCATATCTATCAATGAGGTATAAAATAACGTAGGCCTATATAACAATAAAACAGACATTCGTACTGCGCCTTTTGCCAATGAATATACAAAGCAGAATGACAGAAGTACCAATCAAACTATATAGCCAATCTATCAAACAATTCTCCGTACAAATTGAGGGACAATTATTTAAACTTATTTAGTTATTATTTTTTTTAGATAAGAAAGTACTCCTAAAACCCATAGTGCAATGTATCATTGCCTATATCTTTTTTTTTATAGTTCTAATGTTTTAACACACTTTTTATATATTAGTTTTATAATCGTTTGTCTGTTTGCAATGTTAAATGCAATTGGATTTTTTCCGCTCTGTATTTTCCTTTTTGGAAAATAAAACCTGAATTATTGAATAGAATTTTTGAAAAAGTATATAAAAAATAAGCTTATTACACATGCCGAAGGCTGTGATATTTTACTTATTAAACACGTGTTTCTATTTCGTGTGTCAATTTAGGACTAATTTTGCGATCATAATCTGTTACTGAATTTGTATTTTTCGGCTCGTGGATCTCAGTCCAGCTTGTGTGAATGATCCCCATTAATTAAATAATTCGCGCAGGCCTATCACAAACACTTTTGCCGTACAAACGTAAAGAATTTTAGTTAAATGTTTCCGGCACCATGAATAGAATAATTTTAATTAGCTGTTTGGTCTATTCAACCTATTAAGACAATACCGTTGTGATCTTAGTCGCTCCGGGCCTACATCGGAACTTTTAATCGTTCAAAAAGCG